GAAGAAGTAAAGAAAAAACCTATTTGTATTTTTCAGTATAATATGTTCATGAAGGGTGTTGATAGGGCAGATCAGTACTTGTCTTATTATTCTCTCTTGAGAAAAACAGTGAAATGGCCAAAGAAAGTTGCATTTTGGCTTATAAATTGTGCACTTTTCAATTCTTTTTGAATCTATCAAAAACTAAACCCTACATCAAAAATGAGATATGAAGAATTTCTGCTACAAGTGGCAAAAGACTGTGGTACAGATAAGGTGGAGACAGACTCAGACACAGACAGATATGCAGCACTCCCAGGAACATCAACCCAAACCCCTCGTGTGTCTCATGAGGACCCCCTGGGAGACTTTCTGGTGATATGCGCAAACATGTGCTAGAGAAAATTGTTGGAAGTGAATGGGGTAAAAGAAAATGTCCTGCTAGGAGGTTCCATGTTTGTGCTGCCCACAAAAAGAAGTGAAACTCGGTACATCTGCAAGTTCTGCTTAGTGCCACTCCACAAGGGGGAATGTTTCCAGAGGTATCATACCCTCAAGCACTACTAGGGTCTTTGGTGAGTATTTCTTGAAAATTTTAGTTCACAAAAATAGTTAGCAAATTTGTTATAAATTTTTAAAGAAACAGTATAAAAGTTGATTTCAATGGTTTAAACCCCGGGAACATGAATTTAAACAATTTAAATGCCCCGTCCTCAATGTGTTAAAATATTTGTTTTAAACACTCATGTATTTTTTTAATCAAGAAAAAAGTATCCTTTTAAATGCATCCAGATAACTTACCAGTTTCTATACTATTCATTTTTTCCCCTGGAGATCTGAGTTTCTTTAGCCTAAAGGACTCACTTAACATTTTTTTTGTGGTGCAGGTGGCAGTATATTTGCTATATTTTGTTTTTCTGAATGTGTCTTTATTTCACCTTCATTCTTGAAGGATATTTTCACTGGATATAGAATTCTAGATTGGTTTATTTTTTTAGCACTTTAAAGATGTTGTTCCCCTGTTCAATATTGAAGCATCTGAGTGACGAAATTTAATACAATTCACCAATGGCATAGACTGTCATTTCCGGAATTGCTACCCCCTTTTTTTCCCCTCTGGCTACTTTCAAAGTTTTCCCTTTATTTGGTATTCAGTTGTTTGACTGTGATGTGACTGTTCAAGCATGCTTTTCTTTGTATTTTTCCTCCTTGGGGTTCTTTGAGATTTTTGAATCTGTAAATTTACAGCTAGAGCCAAATTTGGGAAATTTTCAGACATCATTCCTTCACATGTTTTTTTCTGCTCCATTCTCTTTCTCCCTTTTTGGGACTACAATTACATGTGTATTAGTCCTTTTGGTATTGTTCCACAATGATAGGTTAAGGAGCCTATCCATATTTTAAAATATTTTTTCTCTCTATTCCTTCAGATTGGATGATTTCTGTTGATCTGTCTTCAAGCTTACTGTCTCGTCTGTCATCTCCATTATGCTGTTAAGCCCCTGGCCAGTGCATTTTTCATTTCGGATATTGTACTTTTTAGTTCTGTCATTTCCATTTACTTTTATTATAATTTTCTGTTTTTGTTTGATATTTTCTATCTGTTCATTAATGAGGAATCAATTTTCCTTTACTTTCTTTAACAGAAAACTCAGATACTTAATCTATATGTTATTAAATGAAAAATTTGCAGAAGATATACACTGTTCAGATTTTTGTTTAAAAATGGAAGTGTGTGAAAGACTGTATACTGATATGTTTATGTGAACATAGAAGTCTGTATTGTTATTTACCATAACTAGTGATTACCTTGGTGGGAATAGAATTGGAGAGAGTGGGGCAAGGGTTTCTGGGAATTTTTTTTCTACTTGGCATTATTTTAAAATTATAATGGTATAGAAAACTTGAAGGAATTATGTGTATGTGTTTTAATTTTTAAAATACTTTTGTCAATTTTATAAATGTCTCATGCACAAAAAAGTATATGTTTTTTTTTCTATGTAAGAAATTTTCTATTTCTGTTTTTTTTAATTTTAAAAAAAGCCTTACAATTAATTGTCCTTGAATTGAGGGAATATAGCAAGTATAATAGAAATTATTCCTATTATTCAGGTTGTTTATGTCCTTTTTATTTGCTAGGAAGAGTCATAAAGCTCCTCAATGTTACTGTAGTTTATATCAAACTCGACATTTATTTATAAGTTTTTGCCTTATATTTCACTTCAGTAAACTGTTAAAGATTCATGACAATTTAATCTCATTTATTAATGAAGTTTTTAACATTAAAATTCTGTTTTTTCCACGTGATATTTGTTTAACTTCCCATTCTTTCTGGTTAGTCTTAGTACCCACTTTCTAGTGTATTTTTTTGGTATGGTATTTCTGTGTTCATTCCTTTATTTTTAAATAAAAATAATGTGATTTGGGTGTTCTCCTTTTAAGCAGCAGCATGTAGCTGGCATTACATTTTATGCCAAACCAAGTGTTGTCTTTTATAATAGGGATTGTACCCCTTTCACATTTACCGTAATAATTGATAAGTTTCACAGGACTTACTTAGGGGCTGACTATGGGGCAGATGTATAGGTGCTTGATTACAGTGATAGGAGAGGTCAGGGCAGAGGAAGGAAGTAAAGTAGAGAATCTGCCTCAGCTTGGGCTGCCAAAACATAATACCACAGACTGGGTAGCATAAACAGCAGAAGTTTTTTACATTTCTGAAGGCTTATAGTTCTTGGACAATCAAGGTGTCGGCAGGTTTCGTTGCTTAGGAGGCCTCTCACCTTGGCTTGCAGATGTCTGTCTTCTCACTATGTCCTCACGTCCCTTTTCTCTGTGCGTACACATCCCTGCTATCTCTTCCTCCTCTTATAAGGGCACCACTCACATTGGATTAGGGCCCCACCCTTATGAGCTTTTTAAGCCTTAATTACCTTTTTAAAGGCCCTGTCTCCAAATACACTAGTATTTTATATAGGGTGGAATAATTCTGGAATGGAGATGTGCACATAGTTGGTTTGTAAAAGTTCAGTTCATTGATCAAGGAAAGAGTGTTCAGGTAGATCCAGTAAGACCTGTACCTGTTTTTTCAAATTGTGTGGTCTTTTATTGCCTTCAGCTGACTTTGTAGGCATTCTGGTACAAAATAATCCTCTAATAAATATTTGTTAGTGAATGGGGAAACTCTAATTCAGGTATCTCATAAATGATTTCATTACCCACTCTTTTGTGCTGCTTCCTACACTAGGGGTTCTCCTGTCTGAATGACTACTCTCTCAATCTATCCTTTTGTCCTCTTAGGGAAATAGTGAAAGATAGGACATGTCCACCCACATGAGTCCTGTGGTTAGATATCTGTCAAAGAAAATACTTGTGGACACAGTTTATATCAGTGTGGTGGTGGTTAGTTAGAAGATAATTGTAGTAGGGAAAAAACATTGTTGTATATTGGCCCTATAGAGACAAAACTGCCTGTGATGCTTGTATAGTCTGATACATGGGATAGGCTTAGGAGTGGGTTTTCTGGATTGTAATGGAAATTGTAAGATGTGATGGGCTGGAAAAGTAGGTCATGTAGAAGAAGTCTTGATTGGGTAGCATTTAAGTTTTAAGCATTTGGAAAAACAGTAAATCGAGTCTTATCCATCAGAGTCAGGAGAGTTGCTTGGGTTGCCCCAAGTCTCAGTTCTGACTCAGACTCTTCTCTCTGCAGCAGAACCAAAGCAAGAACTCCACCTCTGTCCTTTCTGCCCTCCGGATTTCTCCAGTCATAAGTTCCACATGCAGCACATGCTGTGCAATCATCCCCCCTGGATCTTCCCATGCTTGTGTGCAGGAAATCATATCCAGCCAGGGGATCTGTGCCCGGGGGACCAGAAGAAGCAGGAACAAGCCTCTGATCCAAGTTCCTGGAGGGAAAAAGCAGAAGGTCAAGAGAGAGAAGGAGCCAAGCTTTCATTTGGAAAGACAAAGAAAAGGACTTTAGCAGCATTTTCCATGCCACCCCAAAGGCAGCCAGTCAGCTCTAGGAATGGCATCAAAGGAGTGGATATAGAAGCCAGCCCCACTCAGGCGGGGAATCCTGAGGAAACAGACAAATTGCTGAAGAGGATAGAAGTCTTAGGTTTTGGAACAGTCAATTGTGGAGAGTGTGGACTGGGCTTCAGCAAGATGACAAACCTGCTTAGTCATCAGAGGATACACTCAGGGGAGAAGCCGTATGTGTGCGGGGTGTGTGAGAAGGGCTTTAGTCTAAAGAAAAGCCTTGCCAGGCACCAGAAGGCACACTCGGGGGAGAAACCTATTGTGTGCAGAGAGTGTGGGCGAGGATTTAACCGGAAGTCAACGCTCATCATACACGAGAGGACACACTCAGGCGAAAAGCCTTATATGTGCAGTGAGTGTGGACGAGGCTTCAGTCAGAAATCCAACCTCATCATACACCAGAGGACACACTCGGGGGAGAAGCCCTATGTGTGCCAGGAATGTGGGAAAGGCTTTAGCCAGAAGTCAGCTGTCGTTAGACACCAGAGAACACACTTAGAGGAGAAGACCATCGTGTGCAGTGACTGTGGACTAGGCTTCAGTGATAGGTCGAACCTCATCTCACACCAGAGAACGCACTCGGGCGAGAAGCCTTATGCCTGCAAGGAGTGTGGGCGATGCTTTAGACAGAGGACGACCCTTGTCAACCACCAGAGGACACACTCAAAGGAGAAACCTTATGTGTGTGGAGTGTGTGGCCACAGCTTTAGCCAAAATTCAACCCTCATCTCACACAGACGGACACATACCGGGGAGAAGCCTTATGTGTGTGGGGTGTGTGGGCGAGGCTTTACTCTGAAGTCACACCTCAACAGACACCAGAACATACACTCAGGGGATAAGCCCATCATGTGCAAGGATTGTGGGCGAGGCTTCAGCCAGCAATCAAATCTCATCAGACACCAGAGGACACACTCAGGGGAAAAGCCCATGGTATGTGAGGAGTGTGGGCGAGGCTTCAGCCAGAAGTCAAACCTCATTGCACACCAGAGGACACACTCAGGGGAAAAGCCGTATGTGTGCAGGGAGTGTGGGCGAGGCTTCAGTCACCAGGCAGGTCTCATCAGGCACAAGAGGAAACACTTGAGGGAGAAGCCTTACATGTGCAGGCAGTGTGGACTAGGCTTTAGCAATAAGTCAGCTTTAATTACACATAAATGGGTACATTCAAAAGAGAAGCCTTGTGTATGCAGAGAGTGTGGCCAATGCTTTATCCAAAAGTCACACCTCATCTCACATCAGATGACACACCAGGGAGAGAAGCCTTAGGTTTGCAAGGCCTGTGGGCAAGGCTTTAGCTGGAAGTCTCTCCTTAACAGACACAGGAGGATGAAATCTCTCTACCACAATCCATCACTCCAGCCTGACTCTCAAACCTCTTCTCTATTTGGGGCAATCTTCTGATCCCTTACATGGTCTTTGAAAGTGAAGACGGTGGCGAGGACTAAATCAAAATCTTTACAGTTTCATGAAATGGAGTAGAAAAATGCATTCCATAAGTGGTCAAAGGACATTTGACATAGCTTACTTTCTCCACATTAAATCTTCATGTTTTGTGGCCTTTTGTTTTAATAAACTTTGCTTCTTTACAAATCTGTAACCTTGGCTGTGTACCTCATTCAAGCATTTGTAAAGATAGGGAATATGGAGTGGTACAGATATCTTGAACTCTTCCAATGTCTGCTATTCCACAAGAATTCAGTTCCTTGGAAGACATAAGAACTGGGTCACTAGTATATTGATTGGAAAGTGGTCCCTTGTATTAGATAGAGAATCTAGGAACTGTGTTCAGGGATTTCAGGTGAGGGGAGGGAATCTTCCAGGTTTCTTCCAGAAAACAAGTCTTCCGCTAGAGTCCACTTTCATCGGCAGTTACCCTCTTGTCTTGGCTTCTATGACAGCTCTCGCTTGCACCTCTCCTCTTACTTCTCAGATGTTTATTGTTGCCTTTGCTGAATCATCCACTAACCACCTTTATTGCTTTTTCTCAGTCCTTAGTCCCTGGTTCTCCCATCATGGAACCCCCTCAACACCCTCAACAATACATTGTCCCCAACACTCAAGTCCCAGAGCTTGGTGTTAGAGCTATGACCAAGCAATTATTTAGTATCAGGGTCTTGGATCTTCAGTCACACCCATATCAGGTCACCCCAGCTATACTACCTCATCAGCACTCCAATAATATAATCACCTTTAACTATCTTCTCTTCTCAGCCCTTTAACAACAGGGAAAAGACTCTTAAAGCTGCACTCCCAAATCAGTCCTGTAATACCAGGGCTTAGAACTTAAACAATCATGCTCCTTAGCACTACATCCTAGGCCCAGTCTCCATGTCAGCCATCTAATAACTGGTCTAGGCCCCTTAGGCCCACACCCTCAATAGTTCTCCAGTTACAAGGCTGAAGATATTTACAGATTCTTAACCATACCTCCTCCATTGTTTCAGTCCAAAGGCTCTGCCAAAACAAGTGGCTTTAAAGGTAAAGATCTCTCAGGGATGCAGCTGTAAGACCCTTTTTTATAATAAGATGTCAGAAGATTTAAGACTGCAGCTCCTAGACCCTCTCAATTGCACAAAGTGGTTTCTATAAATTTTGAGGATACCATCCTATAGCACCCTGACATTCAACCCAAACCAGAGAGGGGCTTGACTTGAACAGCTTTGTAGATGTGGTTTAATTCTAATGGAGTGAACTTCATTAAGAAGCATGGGCAACCGATGATATTTGTAATGGAAAAACAGCATAGTCTGAGAATGACAAAGAAAAAATCTCTCTGGGCAGGAAGGCAGGCTGAGAAATCTAAGCTGCAAACACAGGTCATTTCTTACAGAAAAGGAAGAATAACTCAAGGGTGTAGACACAAAAGCCATGGAGAAGTACTCCCCAGGGGAAGTACTGGGCACTAATCAAAGAGCTGGTGGCATGTACTCAGTTGAATTTCAGAATTTGTATGAACCAGTGCCTGCTGTGTGTGTATATGCTATTTCTCCATTTTTCGAATAGAAGTAGTTATTGTGGTTATCCTATCTCTGAATCAACATTGGATGTTAGATATGCTTCTTTAGTCACAAGTCTTCAGATAAAGCATCATCTATACCCTGACCTGATTTAAACACAACTTTGAGCCAGTGCCCTAATGGGATAAGGCTGGGGGTCTGAAGGATGAGTGTATATTTCACATGGGATGGACATGAAATTTGGTGTTCAGAGGGTGGATTGTGGAGATAGTCTCCAAGATGGACATCATCAATTCCTTCTCACATAATCTCATCCATACGAGTATATGATGAAATGGAGACTAGTTACCCTCCCCAGGAGTCTGGACTAGCTTTAGTGACTTGCTTGATCAATAGAATGCAGGAGAAGAGGTATTGTGGGACTTCTGATGCTAGTTCATAAGAAGCCTTATAGATTCTACTTTTTGAACCCCCTCTACCATACTGTGGAAACCTCAAGCCACATGGAGAGGCCTCATGAGTAAAGTAACTATGGTCAACAGCCCCAGCTCAGCTAGCCAACAGTGAACATCAACTCCAGTTATGTGATTGAGCCATCTTGGAAGTCCCATTCTGTCAAGCCTTCTGACCTTAAATGAGAACCATTCAGCTGCCCAGTCAACCTACAGAACTATGAGGGATAATGATAATAAGTGGTTATCTTAAGCCCAAAATTTTAGTGTTGCATGTTATACAATAATAGATCATTGCAACACCTTTATAGCATAGGACTGACTTCTACGACTCAAAATCTTAAAGCCATAATGAAAATAGGTCAGGTTTGGCTACACAAAAATAAATGCTGCAAGGCAACCCACTTTCAGCCAAAACAAAAGACAAATTGGAGGGAAATATTGTGGTCCACATTAGAGAGATATCTGCATGGTATCTCTAGACATGGAGTTTTAAAAATTAAGAATGCAACAAAAAATAGACTCAGACTGATCAGACTCAGAAAAATCACAGTACAGGAAGTCGTTTTTTTCATTTGAAAATACCTTTAATGTCAGTAAAGATACAAATGAAAACCTTGCAGAGATATATCATTTGCAGGTTGGCAAAAATGACAATATTTTAAAACATACCAATTGTAGACTGTGGAAGCATGTACACTTATACATTAGTCTTAAGAATACAAATTGACACAAGTCTTATGGTTGGACAACTTGATGATATCTGCCCAAATTAAAATTTTATATTCCCCTTGAGCCCATAATCTCACTTAATGAAATTTATTCAATACCTATACATATTCATGTGCAAAATGGCTTATATAAGCTCTTTAGTGCAGTAGTAACTTAAAATTTTAGTTAAGAAAAATGTTCACTAATAGAGGAATTCATTAAATAAAGGTCAATTAGGCACAAATAAAACTATGTTATGTTGTCAGAGAATGAGAGAAACATCTCTATGTATGTAAATGAGAGGATCTCCAAAATTAATCAGTGAGGGGAGGGTTGGGGAAAACAGTCTGAGACCACTATATCCAGTGTGCTGTTTTAGGTTAAAAAGAAGCAAAAGAACATTTTTAGAAGAACGAAGTGAAGGACTTACACTTACTAATTTCAAAACTTACTAAAGCCACAGCAATCAAGTAATCAATGGAGTTGCTTGATCATGAGCCCTACAGCAGAATTTTCTTCCAAAATAACCCAGGAAATGCAATTTTTCATCTAATTTCATCTAAATTCACTCGAACAGTTTAATTTTTGCAGCTAAACCTGATTTTTCTTCTAAAATGACCCAGAAAGACATTTTCTGGCCATAATATCACACTGGTCTTGAACAATCAATTTTTACCCAAATTCACTAAATAGTATGGGTTTTGGAAATAATTCTTATGCCAGATATTTCTAAGATGACCCAAAAATGTGTTTTTTTCATCTATATTTGCTCAGATTGTTAGTGTTGTGGTTATAAATTCTCTGCTACATTATTTCACAAAATGGCCTAAAAATACACTTTTTCATCAAAATTCATTCAAATCATTGGTTTTGGGGAGCAGAAATCCTTTGTCAAATACTCCCCCCCTCCCCAAATGGACAAGAAACATGATTTTTAAAATCCAATTTCGGGCCGGCCGAGCGACTCAGTTGGTTAAGAGTTGGCTCAAGAGCGCGAGCTCTGAGCAACAGGGCCGCTGATTCGATTCCCACATGGGCCAGTGACGTTGTGCCTGAGCTGAGCTGTCGCTGAGCTGCCAACAGGTGGCAGGATGGCTCAGCTGGTATAACAACAAGATTGCCTGAACTAAGACTGAACTTGGCACCTTGAGCTGAGCTGCCACCCAGATGGCTCAGTGGATAGAGCGTGCGCTCTTAAGGAGAAGTCTGCTGGTTCGACTTCCGCATGGGATGGTGGCTACGCCCACCCACAACTAAGATTGAACATAGCACCTTGAGCTTAGAGACCATGAGCTGCCAATGGGCAGCCAGATGGAGACTGGCGCCCTCCACAACGAAGATTGAAGAACAACAACTTGGCTGGTTCCCCTCTACTTCCCCAACACTGTTCCCCTCCCCTAATTCCTCAATAAAATTTTAAATAAATAAATAAAATAAAAAAATAAAAATCCAATTTCATGTAAATAGCAAAATTCTAGGAAATAAGCCATATGCCAGCTATTTGTTCCCACTTGCCCTGGCAATATGATATTTTCAACCCAGTCTGCCCAAATTTGGGGGCTTATTGAAAGTAAATCCTACAACAGATTATCCTAAAATATGCAGGAAATGTGATTTCTTATCCAAATTCACTCAAATCTTGGCATCTTTTGGACTTAATCCTAGCAAGACTTTTCCCCCAAATGACTTGGAAATGTGATTTTTTAAATTGGCTCAAATAATTTTTTAGAGGTTTTTTAAACATATTTCCTTTGCCAAATTTCTTCCAGTGTGGCCTAAAATGTGACATTTTACCCAATGTCCTCAAATTGTAGTGCTTTTGGCAAGCCCTGTGCCAGATGCTTCTTTGCAAATGTCCATAAAATGTTACCTTTTATTAAAATATACTAATATGGTGAGGTTTATTAGACATAAGTCCTGTGTCAGATTTTCTTCCAAAGTGGCCCCCAAACATAATACTTTTTACATCCAAATTCTTTCCAAAATGCAGTTTCATGGACATAAGCTCTATGTTAGCTTTTTTCCCAAAAAGTGGGTTTCTTTGGCTATAAGTCCCATGAAATTTTTTCTTCCAAAACAGTTCAGAAAGATGGTTTTTCATCCACATTTGCCCCAAATGTATTTTTGGACATAATCATATGCCACATTTTTCTTCTAAAACAGTGTGAATGCAAAATATCTAAATCTGCTAAATTTTGCAAAGTTTTGGACATGAATTATTCACAATTTTTCCCAAAATGGCCCCAAAATATGAGATTTTAAATCTATATTCAAATTGTAGACTTTTTTTGAACATGAGTCAAGCCTGTTTTTTCTTCAAAATGGACCAGAAATATGATTCTTCATTCAAATTTGCCTCAAACCTTAGGTTATTTTGGGTACAAATCCTATGCAGAATTATTCTTTTAAAATGGTCTGAAAATATTATATTTTCCATCAATATTTTCTTAAATCATAG